TGTGCCAAGCTGTTGTCGGTACTGGACTATAGAAATGAAAAAAAAAAAGAAAGACACAAATCCCTTTAAGGAGCTTATAGTCTAGTGGGGGCTGACAGATAATATACAAATAAGTAAAATATATACATGCTTAGATGTTGACAGTGAGTCTGTACATACTAAAAACATGCTTAAAAAGCTAACATGGCAGAAAGAAAAAAGGGTCTATAAACTATTCCATCTTTCTAGATTTTGTCAGTTACTTCCTTAAGCTAAATTATCACAATGTATTTTAAAAATAAGTGACATTCTATAAAATAAGTGACATACATTACCTATTATGGCAGGCCCACGCAATAAAAAATATAACCACTGTGCTAATTTACTACTAAATGGGATAACATATAATAAAGTATTTAGGACATTGCCTGGCCCATAGTTAGTGCTCAATAAACATTATCTATCATTATTGTTATTTCACTGAAGACTACAGAGGAAAATCAGAAAATATTTATTACATGTTTGTTTTACACTTAGCACTGTGCCATGTATTAGGATACAAATTAGAGACCACAGTCATACTCTTTAGAGGCTTAAAAAAAAAATAAAACACACAAAAAAAGAAGCTTAAAACATATACAACCAGAGATACAAAATCTAAACATACAAAAATTTGGTAGGGTATAAAACAGCACCAGAACATCAGCTAAAATATGGTATTTATGCAAGATATAGTATATAGTGAAAAATGACAGATTTTCCAAAAGTGGAAAGATCACGAAGATTGCCTAGGGAGGCTTTAAATGGAAGGACTGGCACTAGCTGTGACAGAGCTTGGAGGTATGAAGAACAGGGTGGTTGCAGTGATTAAGATATAAATTCATTAAGGCCTGGACTAGTATAAGGGTAGAGGCAGCAAATAAAATGGTAGAGATTTAAAATTTATTTTGAACACAAAGTCAGCTAGATTTGTGACAAAATGGATTTGGGGATAGGGTATGTCGACTTCTACCTACATAACTGGGCTAGAGATAGTCGAAGCCCCAGTTAGAGGACCAGGTTGGGCCCAGACTGACCACTAGTAGCTACAAGTGGCCCAACAGGCCAGGGTAGAACTAGTCAGTGGACAGTATTAGGGCAGCCAAGGAAGATAGAATGTTTTATTCTGCAAAAGATCCAACAGCTACCACTGGTAGCCAGAAAACCCAGTGCCTTTCATCTATCAAAAATGGCTGAAAGAAATAATTCCTTGGGACCAGAAATATTAGTCCAATTGATTGGGACACAGAAATTACCAAGATGAATCAATTTTGGAGTGAAAGATAATAGTTTCAGATAATAGGGAAGCATTTGCTGTCTTATGAGCAGCTGGAAATATGGAACCCGTATCATTAGAAAGGAGAGTTGAATCCATTAGAGGAAATGAGATATTTCCCCCCTAGGAAAAAACAAAAGTAAAATTTAGAAGAGAGATAGTGAAAGAGATGCAGAAGTCAAGAGAAAGGCATTTGAAGGAATAGAATCAGATGGAATAGGGTGGTCAAGGAGACTCCTTCATGTATAAAGCTTTTAAAGCAGAAAAATGAAGCTTGTAGAATACGTGTGTTCAACCAAACTGACAGAACAGTCTCATAAAGGAAGGATTATGCCCGATTTTGTGAAAAATTGAAGAATAATGTAGAAAGAGCAGCCCACATGATATAATCCTACCATAAAAGCATTAAAGCATGACTCAGAGATTTAGCCCACAGAAAGTTATTAATAGGTCCTTCCAGTTTGCAAAACAGCTCAAACATGCCATGCCACCAAAACACCACAATCAGACTTTTATTCTCCCTCTCCCTACCTTCCTTTTTAAAATGCGTGGATTAAGAAAATCTTTAATGATTTCAATGCTAATTTTAATCTATATTGAACAGTAAATAACCAATCTCACTTGTTATTCATTTTAAATTTTGCTTTGCTAGAATTTATGGAATGGTTTCCAACTTTTTTTAAATGTGAAAACCTTTAAAGTTTGAAAGCTCAGTAATAGTTGACATTATAAACCATTTTTTGTTTTCAAATTAAGCATAGTCCAAAGAGTTCCTATTAAGTGACAGCCTTTTTAAAAAATTCTTTTTTTAAAAAAAATTCTACTGCTGTCATAACTTCTGGAAAGCACGGTTTATGGGTAGTTGGTCAGGTATTTTTTAGTATTAATGATTTTTTAGAAATCACCCTCATGTACTCTAAGACACAGCTTAAATTAGATGCTGGATTTTAGATGGCTCTTTTACAAGTGTACATAAGTGAATATATTTGCATATATGTTTATTTGTATATTTATGAAGATTGATTGAAGGGAGCCTCTCAAGACTTAGCTCTGACTATGATGGTTTAAGTGGAAAAAATAGGCAAAAAGGCACTGCTCTAAAATTTAAAAAAAATGAAATTAATGCAAAGAAAAAAATTAGAACTGATGTATTTCATTAAAATTATGACCTTACCAATAAAAAAAGAGATGAGCTCAGAATTAAGAAAAACTATGGTATTTAACATGGCAGGGGTAAAAAAAAAAATGCCAGCGCAGTGGTGTGCACTTACAGTTCCTACATGGAAGGCTGAGGCAGGAGAATCGCTTGAGCCCAGGAGTTCAAGGCTAGCCTGGGCAACATAGACTCCATCTCAAAAAAGATAAAGAAGAAAAAGAAAAACAAAAACTATGTATATTATATACTGGCTCACCAAAAAAGTTGAGTTGTGATAATAGGATAATATAATCATCTGAAAATTACTCTGACCCATATAATAATCTGAAAAACATGTTGGGTCTCTTAGCAAATGCCTTTTTCCATCTGTCACTGCATCATTGCTCTATAGTCCTGCCTCTTCTGTCTTTTTGGATGACTCCTCTTCATCCTCTAGTTGGGAACTCAAGTGGCACCAAACATGACCACACAGAGTTAGGCACTTCTATGGGCTCTCAATGAGCCCCTTGTGCATATCCATTCGTGGTGCACATATCACACTATATTATAACTGCTGTTTGCTTATCTGCCTTCCACTAGACTGCAGATAACCGTAGAGAGCAGGGTCTCAACCTTCACTCCTCTTTTTAACACACTATATGGCAAATAAGGTTTCATATTTTTAAGTTAATGAATCATATCCTGTACCATCAATATGAATTGAAATATGGTGCTGCATCTTAAGAAAAAAATCTTGCTACTCAACATACAAAGCTAGGCATCTTTTAGGGAGAATTTGTAGGCTCAAAGCTGTAAGTCTTACGCTTTTATAGTATAAGTAAGATCATTTTTGTTTCCCCAGCATATTCATGCTTTCCACAAACTACTAATGCTTGGCTTTGAAAGATAAAGAAACACAAATGGAAAAGTATGGGTTAAATATGGAAAAGCTACTTCACAACTGGACTTAAACCATAAAGGAGTGGTCTCCTAACCCTATGGAACTCCTTCTATTCAAGCAGCTGCAAATCCGCACTGGAATTCTAAGGAGACATCTAAGTGTCAGACCCGATCCAACTGGGATGGGGCTGAGTGGGGAAGGGATACAGCGCTAACCCTCGGATGGATCCAAAAAGAGGGCAAATAATAGCCACTCCAGAGCAGGAGTCCGTTTCTTTTCTTTGCTCATCTGGAGTCTTGTCCTGCTTCGGTAGTTCTGCCTCCCCGCTCTATTTCTCAGTTCTGCTCCACTTGTCAAGGCAAACTCACTAGGGAGCAACGGGCACCTTCACAGGAGGAAGGGGGACCCCTGATGACCGTGGACAGCTTGCTCTCCAGGAGCCCCCTATCTGCCAGGACCTGTCAGGGGGACAGGGAACTTCAGGCTTGGGTGGAAATTCTAAGCACAGAGAAACAGCAGAATGTGTGTGCTGCCAGCAAGTCATTGAAATTTGTGCCTAACAAAACTCGGAAGCAAAAGATCTGACCTCGGATGGCCATTATGGCCAGGGATAGACACAGGCCTGTGTTGAAAGAATATAATCAATGGCAATAGACTTCTGAAAACCAGCTTTCACTAAATTCACAAATTTGGGCTCTAGAAATAAGAATAATAAGGGATGGGATATAGGGGTCTCCCAGTGGAAACATTAACTCTGACAAAATACAGTACAACCTAGAAAAGTTATGGGTTATCTGCTGGGAAGAATGTGGCAATTTAAGTAAGGCTTAGTTTTAAAATACCCAGACACTCTGACCATACTGAAACATGCTGACCAAGCATTTTATCTTTTCAGGGTACGTAAAGCAGAGCATCCTGCTTTAGCAACTTTCCATAAAAGGACATCAAAGTAAAGGAGAAGCTGGCAGCTGCCTCCTTGCCCAATATTCTAGAAGACAATGACTGTACAACCTCTGAGTGCTCTAGTCTCGGCTTCCTGCTAAGCTAGTCCTGTGACCCAGGTTTCCAGGTGATTATATGGCAAATACTACTAAGGTTGCTAACCTTTCACAAGGGCCTTAGGTAACAAGAGAAAAATCAAACACCTCAGCACTAGGGCTTATGCTTTTCCTGGCAGCACGCTGGTAGCATCTGTCCATAAACTCAACAGCAGCATTACTTTAACACAGAAGGCAGTTAAGTGCCCTAGCAGTGTATAGTCTCATAACTTTTCACATAAAAAGGAACCATATGCTTACTGTCCTTGCATTTTCTCTGCAGTAAAACGTAAGCTGCACCATCGCCCCACTCATATACACATTCCTTCCAGTGCCCCATTAAACGGTGATTACAACATATTAATAGTAAGAAGTAAAAATGATCCTAATCCTGGGGCTAGAGTTTATTGTTACTTATAATTTAGCCCTACATTTATACTGTGTCACATACTAAATTCTGCTTCATAATCCACCTGTGAAATTCATAAAGTTATGCAGGAAAGCATGGTTATTATAGTGACGTCCATTTGCTCAATGTTAAGTGTCACTCATCCTTGAGGTGCAAAAGCAACATTTTGACAAGAGTGTCCCTGAATGATCAAAGGAGGGTGGTGGACGCAGGGCCTGGGGTACCTAGCTGTTTTTCTCGTTCCTCACGTCGCTCCCGGGCCAGCCGCTGCCGGTCATCAACCCGTAGCACAGGCGGAGGGTCTGAAAATGAGATAAAAACCACGAAACAAAGAGTGAATTAAATAAAGACATACACTGATAAATATCCTTTTGTCCAGCGACTTTGATGAATGAAGTATTGCTACATGTCTTATAGTAGTACATGTGACTATAGTTACAGTGGTACACTTTATTATAACTTTTCTGAGAATTTCCAAGCATTTTCCTTCTATTTAAAAACATTATGTAAAATCATAACTTAACCATAGGCTTTTGGCTATTTTCAAACAGTATCAATGATGTTTTGTGTTCCTAAGCTACTGAACTTCTATCACTTTTACACTTTAAAAAGTCTGATCCTTAACAGGAAAGAGAATCCTAACTACGTAGATTTCTACTGGATAGATGTTTGCCAGTTAGAGGTGAAGCACTGAGTCAGAGACACATGCGTTCAGTTTCTGCTCTGATGTGAGCTTTTATTACCTGTAAAATGAGGATAAAAGAGAACCTATCTCACATCATTAGAATGATAATGAGTGTCAACGTTACGCCTAGCATGTAAGTTCCAGTAAATGGATTCATTCACTCAACACATATGGAACATCTACTATGTGCCAGGCACTGTTATGTACACTGAAAACAGCAGTCGTCAAAAAAGACAAAAACCTCAGCCCTCATGGGATTTATATTCTAATTGAAAAATGTAATAAACAGGATAAATAAATAAAACATATAGAATGAAAAAAGGAGAATAATACATAAAATGTTAGACTGAGATAAATGCTAAAGAGACAACAAAGCAATGAAGGGGATTATGACATGTCTGGAAAAGGATGTTTAAATTTTTAGATTGGGCTTAAGGAAGGCCTTACGGAGATACCTTTTATGTGTAAATACCTAATGGAAGTGAGGAAGCTACCTGTGCACATAGTCCATAGAAAGTAAGTGCAAAGGCTCTGAGGTTGCGAGTACCTAATGTGCTCAAGAAACAACAGGGAGATCCAGGGGTCCAGAAGAGAGTAAGATCTGTAAGCAATGGAGCTGGAGACACAAGGGCAGGGCATGGGGCTCACTGGTTGTAGTGGACCTCAGATTACACTCTGAGCGAGACTGGGGGAAGGAGTCCAGCAGAGAGCTACATTTATAGGCTCATTCTGTCTGTTGCCATACAAAAACAAAATAATAATAATGATCATCATAATAATTATACTTAATATCAGGTTTATTTTTCTATTAAACTGACACTACAGTTTTAGAATCTCAGTTTAAAAATGAGAACTTACTATAATAATGCATTAGAGACAACACAGTAGTGCTTTATCAACAAATTTAAGGGCCTTGCATCCCAAATGCCTCTTAAACATTGCAGAATTTGTATATTTAAGGAAAATAAAAACTGTATAAAAGCCCACTTTAGGAGCCTGCATAAACTAGGCAGTGTGGAAGATGAGCAAGACTAGGTGATGATATGTTATACTTTTTCTTTGCTTTTAGGTATAGTTTTTAAAAATTGGTAAGATGGGCCGGGTGCGGTGGCTCATGCCTGTAATCCTAGCACTTTGGGAGGC